CTGCCAGGATGCTCGCTGGAGGGAGCCAGAATGTGAGGCAGTGACAGGCAGCGGAGGGCAGGGCTGTCGCACCAGAATCCCATTTGGCGGGGCTGCCTTCCCCAGAGCTGGCCCAGTCAGTAGGCGCTTCCCTTCCTACTTTCTCCCTTGCCTCGGTGGCCCTTCCTGGCTTTGCCCCTCATTCCTGGAGGCCAGCAGGTCCTCTTCTCCCCAGCTTGTCTGTCCTCACCTTGCAGCCCAACCCCTAGGGGCCTCAGCGTGGGGAGCACTTGGGTCAGGACTGTCACATGTGGCTCCATGAGCCTGCGCACACCACTTATGCCCTCAGGACCTCAGTCTCCCCATCCGTCAAATGGATTAACACCAGCTCTGCCTGCTTCAGAGCACTGAGGTCAGTTGCCTGTTGGGAATTTTCAAGGGAGGGCAGCAGGGGGAGCTGTGCACAAAAACGGGTGGCTAACACGAATTGATAAATGTCTTTCCCGCTCCCTCCTTCCAGCCTCTCCCTCTTTGCTTTCTCCAGCACCAGCCCGTTCTCTAGGCTGTCCGGGGCAGGGATACAGCCCCATCTCACCAAGAGAAATGAAAGGGGAAAACAAGGAGAAAAAAAGGAAAGCTGACCTGGGTACCTTTAACATGAAAACTCAGCACCCTTTGTACCTCTTGGTCTGGGGCTCTGAGAGCTGGCTGCTCCTTGCGAGGGTAAAGGTGCCCCAGTCAGTGAGTCCAGAGCAGCCAATGCCTACGGCCAGCGGTGCCCTGAAAATGGGATTGTTGCCAGAGCATATGGATCCCGTGTTCAGTGTGTGGGAACAGGCTTTCCCCAGGCGGGTCAGCCTGGGTGGAAACCCAGGTTGCTTTGGTGTCTGTGAAAGCCTAAGACTCTGAGAAGGAGGCGGGTGTTGTTCTGTTGGGCGCTGTGCTGCTAGCATCTCGCCGAGGTCCTTTAGAAGGAGCCACTTCCTTTCGTTTGGGGGGCCCTGCAGGCCTCTGCCATATGGGTGGCAGTGAAGCTGGGGCCAGGTCCAGCTGTGAGAGAACAACCGCAGTGGCCAGTTCTACGGCATTCTCTGTGCCGGGCAGTATGTGAGCGCCTTTATGTACACTGTACGTTTCTTCCTCCCCAAATGTTCAGGGCTTGGTGGGGTTATTACCCTCTTTCTACAGATAGAGAAGTAGGTGCTCAAGAGGCGAAGTAAGTAGCTCAAGATGACCATGCAGCTAGCAATAGCAGGGAGCTGACCTGGAGTCTGTCTGCTTCCACAATCTGCCCTGTGAACTTCATTCAGGACCTTAGCCAGTGAGGAAGGGCCAAGACAGGGACTGTTTATATCATGTGGGGTAGAGGGAGACCTCAGGAGTCCCTGCGTTTTTTTGTTTTTTGTTTTTGTTTTTTTAAGATTTTATTTATTTATTTTTAGAGAGATGGGAAGGGAGGGAGAAAGAGAAGGAGAGAAACATCAATGTATGGTTGCCTCTTGCACGCCCCCTACTGGGGACCTGACCTGGAACCCAGGCATGTGCCCTGACTGGGAATCGAACCAGTGACCCTTTGGTTTGCATGCTGGCGTGCAACCCACTGAGCCACACCAGCCAGGGCAGGAGTCCCCATGTAAAAGAGGGAGAGATGGTACGGGGTAGGAGAAATCCTCCCATCTTCTCCAGCCAAGCCAGACCTATGGACTACAGGGTGATGAGCTGTCGCAGTTTGTCTGTGACTTTCCCAGATCGAGTCCTGAAAGTCCTATGTTCTGGTTTGCCTGGGTCTCTGGACCAGCTGCAGAGAAAGCCAGGTGGCCTGATGTAAGGACACAGTGAGGACACCGCCTGGGAGGCCTTTTCAATTACATTAGCTTCTGGCACCACTAGAGGACGACGCGGGCCTCCCTCCCCTCCCTTCTCCTTCCTGTGGCTCCGTGGGAGATAGTGATTCAGCAGCAGGTCGGATGCAGGCTAGACTGTGACCTACCCCAAGTGGATTCATCAGTGGGTGGGGGCTGTTGGTGCTCAGGGCAAGAACTGGGGCAGGGAGGGGAAGTGAGGGTGATTTTGACTCCTTTGGGAACAAGAAGGCTTGCCGTCCAGTGCAGGGCAGTGGGAGGTAGGCGTGCCAAAGATGGGGACCCCTGCCCTTTCCCCTGTGCCTGGGTAGGTGAGGCATGGGGGAGGCCCAGCCACTGGATACCTAAGCTGTTTCTCAGCCTATTCAGCAGCTAAAAATGCAAAAGGGCCTTGCTCAAAGGTGCCCACCCAGAAACTGCAAAGAGGCTGGAGTGCCCACCCAACCTACTAAAAGGTACCCACCCAGATGCTGGGGAGAAAATGTGCCTGCCATTCCCTCCCCTCAGCCACAGCCCAGTTGCCCCTCTGCCAGGACTAACCCTCCACTCCACTAACTCCCTGAGCTTCTCAGAGGCCCCAGCGCCTGCGTCCCCTCCCCCTGGCACCCAGTCCTCCAGGTGGTGGCAGTATTTGGGATGTCGTGAACGGCCCAGTCCCCAGAGCAGGGCCTAGGTTCTCATTGCCCAATCCCAGCCTCGCCTACTCACTGTTAAACCTTGAACAAGTCATCTAGCTTGTCTAAGTTTTGCTGTCATCACCTGCAAAATGAGGGGCCACAGCACCCGGAGTGGTCTACAAATCTTTGGTGGGAAGGGCTCTAACCTGGTTGAAGGACAGGCTGGCAGGGATCCAGCCGAAAGCTGGGGGGACTGCAAGTATGTTGTTCTTGCTGAGCATGAATGTTCCCGACAGTGGCTGGGGTCTCGTGGAGACTGTGGTGCGGGGACTGGAGCGCCTATCGGTACCACCTTACACGGCAGGATTGTGGCAGAGGGGGCAGAAACCCTGCTGGGTCCCAGGTTCTCAGCCAACACTGGCCCAGCTTCCTAACCCACAGCAGGCGCTTGTTGGAGATGCAGACGGGTGGGGGTGGGGGTGGCTCCCCACACCTGCGCTTGTCCCCTGCTCCCCAGAGGATCCCATTGTGCATGACCAGGTTGAGAATCACCGACCCGGTCCTGGCACAGAGGAAGCACTCCGCTCCTGCGGTTATGTTCCTCTCCCACTCCTGAGCCTCAGTGTGGCCCCTCGTCACAGGAAAATGACCTGTCTGCAAGCCCCCGCCCCCTACCAGGGCTGTGGACAAGCTCAGAGAAAGTTCTGGCTGGCTCGCAGCTGCACAAACAGGGAGAAGGTGGTCGTCACTGTGAGGAAGTTAACCCCCGTCTGGGCTACTGGCAGCCAGAGGATGGTCAGTGGGCCACTGTGGTCCCAGGCCCAGGGGGCTTCTCCTGCAGGACCAGTGGGAAAATGGGGAGGGGTACCTGGAGGGGCACCTCTTCACTGCCATCCACTCTCTGCCCTTCCCTGGGCCTCACTCTGCAAAGAGCTTGAGAAACGAATTCCCTCCTTGGAAATGCAAGTCTGCTGTGCAGGGCATAGGCACTTTACTATGCCCTCCTCTTCCTCACTGGGGAGTCTCCCCAGCACTGAGCTTCAGGGACACAGCCAGGCCCTAGGGCACAGTCTCTCCCTAACTTCCGTCCACCCCAAGACCAAGCTGCCGGATTGAGGGAGGGGCACGTGGAAACTCTCCCACCTTCCTCGTCTTTGGAAGCAACAGATACAACAGACCTTCCTCCACTCCATCCACCCCGCGGTTTCCATCCCTGTGGGTGGGCTTGTAAGCCACTGCCCTTCCCAGGTTGGGTGACCTTGGGCAGTGGCTGAACTCCTGTTTCCTCATCTGTAAAATGGAGGCGACAGGACCTTCCTCTTGGTGTGGATGTGAGGGTTGAAAGAGGCATGGGATTTGGAATTAGAAAGGCGTTCTCAAACAGGAGAGCGGAGTAGGGGGACGGTATCAGAGCTGTTGGTTCCGGGTCCTCGGCACCGGCGTTCTGACCCACTGAGTCCTGAGACCGGACTTGAGGAAGCACAGGGCTCTAGGACAGTCCTCGGCCTTCCCTGGGCGGGCGCGTTACCTTGGAGCTCACCCAGAATTCTGAAGCCCAGACTAGCCCATCCCAGACTGCCAGCATCGGAATCCTGGGGAGTCTCCGCGAAGCTGTCACCTTCCTTGCGAACCTGCTGTCCCTTTCTGCATGAGTCCCCTCTTGGTAGCAGGCCAACCGAGCTGGCCTGTTGGCTTTGACCAAAGCCCAAAATGGGCATTTTTCTTGGATCCCCAAGGGAAATGAAAGGCGTCTCCTCCAGTCTCCAGACACCCAGACCTCTCCTGAGCGCTGAACAGAACCCCCAGCGTTTTAGGGGCGGGGGAAGGCTTCCAGAAGATGATGAATGAAAAGGGGTGGGAGGAGCCCAGAGCAGGACCAAGCAGCAGAGGGTACCTGGGGCCAGGACTGGGAAGTGCCCTGACCCTCCTAGCGGGGAGCTTGGGGCTAGGGCAGGGGCCCCACAGATGTTTAATTACTCGGAGGCCGATTTGGAGAGGGGAATGCTGGGGAAGGTACGTTAAGGAGGTAAATGCTTCAGTTTGAGTTAAAAGTTGAGTGGGCATGAGCTAGTAATGCCAAGAATTGGGAGGGGACGCCCTTCAGGGCTGGGGAGCGGCTTCCAGGGTGGGCAGGGCCTGGGTTCTAGCAACCACGCCCAGAGCCTCAGTTTCCCTATTTGCAAGGTGCTGGCGTACTTGCCTCGTCCTCCCGCAGCCGCCGAGGGCGGGGGAAGGTGCCTAGGAGAGGGCACAGTGGTTCCTGGAGCCCCTCCTGCAGGGCCGGGGCGGGGCTGGGCGGGCGGCACGGGCGAATCGTGCCGGGAGGCCGGACTGGCCGGGACCCGCGGGCCGGCGCTGCGCGCAGTGCGTGCGGCTGCAGAGCGCGCGGCTCACCGGCAGCGAGGATCACATGAGCAGACGCGGCGCAGACGACCCACCGCAGCCCGCTCGTGGGCGCCCTGCAGCCGCCCTGCAGCCGCAGCCCCAATTCCCAGCCCAGCCCAGCCCTAACCATGTCTATCTGTTGTTGCTTCTTTTTCAGGGACTATGGCAGTTCCAAGAGGAAATCAGGTAAGGGAGCCTCTGGGTGTCTTCCCCTCCTGCCTCCCCGACCCTGCGGAGGACTTTCTTGGGGGGAGGGGTCCATGGCCGCCTGCGCCATGGTCCTGCGGGGCTGGGGGTACTCCCTTCGTACCCCTAAGATCTCTGGTACTTGCGCCCTCAACGCCCATTGACTTCCTCTCGGTCCCCAGTGGGCAGTGGGGGTGGGTGCGTGGGGACTGGGCGCGGGGGGTGTCTCTTGAACAGCCTAAGCCCCCACAGTGTCGGCAGCCTATCCTCCTCCTCCCTGGGTCGCGGGGCCCACTTCTCCTTGGGCCCTTCCCGTGGTGCTGAGGTGACGGAAAGGTTAACAGAGACGCAGTGTTTTCGGGGAGGGAGGGTGACAACCAGGACTGGAAGGGGGTCGTACTCGAGCGACTTGAGTTTTTAACGCCTGCAGCGGAGACCTCCCCCCCCCCCCCCCCCCCGCTTCCTCCATCCAGCTGAGCGCTTTCTCTTTCCTGGGGGAGGGAGCCCTGCGTGCTGGCAGCATCACAGGGTGGGGCGGGGGGGGGGTGTGGGGAGAGCACCTGCGGGGCCTTGGCCTGACAGGTGCCAGCACTCAAGAGTTTGCGAAGCGGGTGGAGTCAGGGAGAGAGGCGGAGCCAGCCCTCTGAGGCCGCTCTGTTGGGCGGGGCGGGCCAGTGGGCTGGCGCTGTCGGCTGGGGTCTGACAGCTGGGGTCGGAGAAGGGCTCCCTCTGGGTGGGGCGGGGCGGGCTAGGCAAAGGCCTGGGTGTGGGCCGGGTGTTGTTGGTGGAGGGTGTGGGGAGGACGGACCCTAGGAGTTAGGGCTCTGTGTGTACAGATGGGGGGTGGGCGGACTGGAGCCATCCGTGTTGGCGTGTGTGTTGCCTATATTTATGGGGGTGAGCAGCCATGGGGGGTGGGGTCTGGCCTGGAGGATGTGGGAAATGTGTATAAGCATGTGATTCTCGCTAATGGCTCCTGCGGGAACGTATCTGTCAACGTGCCTTGGTCTGGGGATCAGTGGAGGTGTGTGTGCCCACCTGCGATGGACGGGATGTGAACTGGGGGATGGGGGCTCGTCGTGGTGGCACAGTGTGTGTTCTGAGTGTGGGTTCGTACGTTTTATGTGCCCAAATGCTGGCTTATGTGTCCTCTGGGATGTGGAAAGTTGTGTCCCAGTTGCTGGACTGGGCGCAGGTGTGTACCTGAGGTTGAGTGGGTCTACATAGTTGTGTGATGTGAGGCACAGGTGTTGGACGTGTGCCAGTGCGTTGGGCTGTGTCTGGTTGTGGGTTGGAGTCTGATCACATGTCTGTGCCCATTCGGGGTGTGCGTGACTGTGGGTGAGATGTGTGTGCACAGCCCTGTCAGCTGTGCAGGGCTGTCTCCAGTGTGCCTGCCCCTGGCGCAGAAGGGCTTCCCTCCAGGACCAGGAGGGGAAGCTGCGGTGGGAACCTGAGGAGTCTCAGCATCACTTCACCTGTCGCCTGCAGCCAGATCCTCAGGGGGAGAAGTGGGAAGGGACCACACACCTGGGCTGTGTTCTGTCACAGCCCCTGCCCCGGAGACTCTCGCCTGGGGCCTCAGAGACATGCTCCCAGGCTCCAGTTCTGGCTGTGTGTGACCTTAGGCAAGTTTCATGACCTCTGCTTCCATTTCCTCATTTCCTTTAAAACAAAGATGATAATAGTATCAACCTCACATGCAGCACAGAGTAACGACTACAGAAGTTTTAGTTTATCATCCTCATCATTACTTTCTGAAGCCATGAGACCTTGGGTGAGTCCCTTCTCAATTCTGGGCCTTGGTGTCCCTCTGTAAAGTCAGGGGCTGGGCCAGGTAACCCTGCAGGTCCCCCCACTCCCAGTCTCTGGAGCTTGGGTTCAGTGCTGCTTCTTAAGCAATGCAGGGCCCCACCCAGGGAATCCACCCCCCCCCCCACCCTGCCTTCTACTCTCAGGACAGGAAAAGGATGGATGGAGGAATTTAATTGGTGTGCTTATGATAATGGCCACTTAGTGTCATGGTTAAAATGCCAGCTCTGGAACCAGACAGCAGGAGTTGAGAGCTCGGCTTTTGTCCTCTGAGACCTTGGGCAGACTTCTTACCTCCTCTGTGCCTGTTCTGTCGTCTGTAAATTGGTGATGTTGTTCATACACATTGTGATGGTTAATTTTATGTATCAACTTAGCTGGGCCACGGTGTCCAGATATTTGGCCAAGTATTATTCTGAATGTTTCTGTGAAGGTGGGTTTAGAATGAGATTAACTTAAAAAGATTTTTTTTTTACTTCTTACCTGAGGACATTCATTGCTTTTAGAGACAGAGGAGGGGAGAGAGAATTTAGAGAGAGGGGAGGGGAGGGAGAGAAAGTCTGATGTGAGAGAGAAACATCAGTTGGTTGCCTTTCCCACGCACCCTGCCCGGGACCAGACCCACCTCCTGGGCATGTGCCCTGACCTGGAACAAGGCCCAATGAACTGAGCCACACCGGCCGGGGTGAGATTGACTTTAAAATCAGTGGACTTTGAATAAAGTAGATTACCTTCTAACCTTCTGTAATCCTCTGTGAGGTAGGTTGGCCTCATCCGATCAGTTGAAGGCCTTAATAGAATAAGGACTGAACTCCCCTGAGCAAGAAGTAATGCTGCCAGCAGACTGCCTTTGGACTTGAACTGCATCTCTTCCCTGAGTCTTTAGCCTGTCAGTTTACAGCATCAGATTTTGGGCTTACCATGTCTCCACAATCATGTATATGTATTTCTCTTTCTCTAGAGAACCCAGACTAATACTCATCTCTATGTCTATAATGAAGATTAGATAAACTAATATAGATAAGCCTGCTTAGAACACTGCCTGCAAACTGGAAAGCTCTCCCAAAGTGCTAGCTAGCTACTATTATTATTTAATGAACATTTACTATGTGCTGGCAACTTTACATACATTTCCTCATTTGCTGCTCAGAGCCATGTTGCATGTGGGTGGGATTCCCACTTTACACTCGAGAAACTGAAGCTCCGAGAGGATGGCTGGCCAGAGTCTGTGGCAAAGTGAGAATTTGAGTCCAAGTTTAGGGTTCCACCCTGCTCCGTCATGAAACTCACAAAGTTTCCCAGGGACATTTGCATGGAGACAATGAATGCCGTTCCCTGGCCATCACTTTTCCCATTTTGGTCCCCAAAGCCCTGGCTCCTCCTTGGAAGATCTCTTGGAGGAATCTCTTATTGAGCACAGAGCCAAGACTTGAAGCCAGGCCTGGGGAGGGTGGAGTCGGTTGGAAGAAAGTTCTCAGGCAGTATACAGACGGCCTCAGGACAGGGCAACAGCCTCGTGACCTTGGAAACAGCTGGCCTCAAACGTCGTCTCCATTCTGCATCTTTCCCATGCCACCAGCCTCCCTGTTGCTGAAGCCCAACATCCAGCAGTCACCTTTGACCCCTCCCTTTCTCTCCAGGTCCAACCACTTCTCCCACCTCCGTTCCTCCCCACCACCCCACCTCAGGAGGGCTCCCCTCATCTTTGCCCCAGCTCCTCCTGGGCCTCTGCTTCCACCCTTGCCTCTCCACACTTTTGTCTACATCCCATCTAGAGTGAGCACTTCAGACTCTAGCAAATAAGGAGCTTTTCTGCTTAAACCTCCCCCAAAGCCCTTCCCAGCCCAACCAGATTAACTCCTTATCCCCCAGCCTCAGAGTGCTGTGTGCTTTGGCCCCCACCTGCCATCCTGCCCTGGGCTCCTACCCTCCCCCGCTCCCCCCGCCCCATTCCCACTCCAACTCTCTCTGCTGGGCCACACCTTAGCACTTCACATTCATTCTCTCCACATAGTCTTTGCACTCAAGGTTCCCTCCGCCTGGAATGCTGTTCCCACCTGGCTGTCTCCTTGAGATTTCTGCTTAATTGTTGCCTCAGAGAGGCCGACCCCATCCTCTCACCATCTCGACTCGCGTCACTTCTTCCATGCACATCACTGACCTCACTCTCATTACCTCTTGAGTTTTCTTTGTGATCTGTGTCCCACCGCCTTGAGAGGGAAGACCTTGCTGCAGGCCTCACACCGGTAGCAGCCGCCCCCTCCCGCCTTGTGCTTGTTGAATGGATGGGTGGATGGAAGAATGCACGCGGCCTGCAGGTCAGGGAGGAAGGTCACTGCGCCCTCATGTCGGGATGTTCGTGGGAAGAGGAAGAGTTTTTCTGGTTGGGGCAGAAGGTCTGAGTGTGGCTTCTTTGGAGACCAGAAACTTCAGCTGATCTGACTGAGCACCAGCTGCCTGCCAAACACCGTGCCAGGTGTCAAGGTTACAGGAATGTGTCTTTCTGCCTTTGAGGAGCTTGCAGTCTGCTGTGGGTGATGGACTGCATTTACAGGAATGTATATTAGACAGAGGTTGCAACATGGTTATCGGAGGAAGAGAGCGGTCCAGGTCAAGGGTACAGTGAATGCAAAGGCCCTGGGAGGGAGCTCACTGGCCTGCTTGGGGCAGGGCATGAGGGCTTGAGGCTGGGGTAGAAAGAGAGCATGGTGGCAGAAGGTGAGAGCAGAGGTGAATCGTGTAGGGCCTTGCGGGCCACTTTAAGGATTTTCGACTTCCACCGTGAGTGGAGAGCCACCCAGGGGCCCCGAAGAGAGGGGGACATGGTCTGACTTAGATCTCAGAGGTGTTTTTTCTGACTGGTGAATGGAGAGCAAGACAAGGCACAGAGACAGATGAGAGTTGAGGACACCAGCGGCAGTGGGGGGTGGGCTGTGAGGGGGGGTGTAGCTGGGCTTCCATTCTCAGCCCCACCTGGTGCTGGTCACGTGGCCTTGGACAGATCCCGTCACCTGGGCTCTGCTACCTCACCTGCAGGAGCTGTCTATGTATTAGGAGCTGTGTTGCAAGGATTTGATTCACATGACTGTGTGGGGCTGGCTAGGCAAGGCTGAAATTCAGGGGCAGGCTGGGGTTGTGGTCAAATTTCTTCTTCACGGAAGCCTCCGCTCTGCCCTTCAAGGCCTTTC